GAAAATAATACCTAAAATACTCTCATAGGGATAGACAAATGATTGAGTAAATGGGCTTGAAGAATAGAAGTGATAAGAGGGGTGAAACAACCTATTTTGCAATGATTAGAAGGGAAAAGGAAGAGGGAAAACACTCTGCAGATGGGCAACAGTTTTAATAACACAGCACTTGATTCCAGATAATTTTATTGTTCACAGACTGATTTTTAACTTGCAGAGAGAATGATAATAATCATATTATGTTTAAAAAGGGATGCATACATTCTCATGCTCCTGGCTAAATCAGGCATCAGTTGGCAGAGGTTAGGAAGTAGTATCTGCTGGATACAAAAGCATTCTCACAGCTTATGGCAATTGACTGGTATATTTGAGATGCAGGTTATTTTCCTGTTAGTTTAGGCACACTGGGCTGGATCTGGATTGGCTTTGTAAATATGTAGGCTTCTGGGTATCTAAAAATACCCTGAGAGACTCTGCCAATGCCTGAAGAAGGGTGTTTGTGTCCCAAAGCGTGCAAAGAACTTTTTTACAACTATTTTAGTTAGTCTAATAAAAGATATCACATCTACCCAAGGAACCTTGCATGCCTTGGCTCAGGAAGGTGATTCAGATTGGCAGGATTAATTGCCTAGGACCACTTTAGTGACAATGGGGAGAATTAGGCATTGTCTGTGGAAGTTCCTAGAGCTGGACAATTTAAAACACTAGGCACAAGACAATGTCTGAAATCCCGTGCATCTTTGGAGCTCAAGCTGCTTGTTAGGAACCTCTATCAACTCATTAACCTAAGTGCTTAGGATTTTAGCTTCCATTAGCTCCTTTGAAGATGCTAGCAGTAGTTGGGAAGCTCTTATTATGTGCATGTACAGTGCTTCACACAAGGAAACTCTGGCCTTGTACTTCACACAAGGAAATCTCTGTGGAAGCCCTCATGTATTGCTTAGTAGTATAAGTAATTATAAAACCAAGCTACTGAAAAAACAACTAGGAAAACAATTTAGCCTGTTATCTGAAGTTTATGTTTTACTTCTATTGTGTTGAAATTTGAGGAATCTTCAAGTAAAAGGTATGTTTATGTTAAAGGTTGCAATTTCAAGCAGGGCACTACAGGTTCAATTAACTCCACTGCTTGTTAGAACCAACTCAGGATGCTATACAGCAAAGAATTATGGTTGTAATTTCATGAAGCAGTGAATTTAGTGCTTAGTAGGTGTAGCATAGCAGAAAAAAAAAATTCTAAAAGTCACTTGTATACATTTCTTTCCTAATGTTGATTAATAAACATAAGGAAAATAATAAACTCTACTTTCAAAAGTGAAAAATTAGAGACTGTTTTAGTTACAGCATGGGTTCATCAAAGGCAGGTCCTGCCTGACCAACCTGATTGCCTTTTATGACCAAGTAACTAAATCCTTGGATGATGGTGTCGCTGTGGACAGTCTTTCTAGACTTTAAAAAGGCCTTTGACACTGTCTCTCACCCCATCCTCATCAATAAATTAAGTGACTGTAGCATTGATGCCTACACAGTTGGATGGGTAAAAAATTGGCTGATGGGGCACACCCAGAGAGTAGTGGTGGATGGTTTATACTCAACCTGGTGAAATGTGAGCGGTGGGGTACCCCAGGGCCCAGTCCTTAGGCCCACACTGTTTAACGTCTTCATCAGTGACTTGGATGAGGGGGTGGAATGCATGCTGTCCAAGTTTGCTGATGACACTAACATGTGGGGAGAGATGGACACACTTGAAGGGAGAGAGAGGCTGCAAATAGATTTAGACAGACTACAAAAGTGGGCAGACGAGAATAGGATGGGCTTCAACGTAGACAAATGCAGGTCACTGCACCTTGGGAGACGGAATCCACAGCATACATACAGGCTGGGGAGTTCCCCTCTTGAAAGCACAGAGGCGGAAAGGGATCTTGGAGTCATTATTGACTCCAAGATGAACATAAGCCGCCAATGCCAGACCGCAGTCAGCAAGGCCA